TATATATATATATATATAGAGTTAGGATCATATGAGAATGGTGCTCTAGGAAAGAAATAAGAATAAATATGGACCATGAGATCAACCATATCAATGACTATGATGAAGTCAAACTATGGTCATTCATTAATGGCAATTTGGTAATTATCTGATCACATGATAGTCAATATGTATATTTGACCAATAATTAAGGATAAGTTGGTCATTACACATATATTATTTCGTGGGACCCACTCAACAATTAATGACATGTTTCTCTTTCATCACCCTCACTTTCTTTTTCACACAATTCGATTACACACACAGACACACACAATTCCTGCCGCCACAGGTACACCACCCCAACGACCGGAAATCCTCCGCCGCGACCAGACCATCATGCTTCCCTCGACTGAGCCATCTCGCCTCCACCCTCCCCGTCCGCAGCCGCCACAAGTCCACACACCACAGCCCACCAGGATTCCTTACCTGCCACCAGAAATCCGTCGCCGCCGCCAGTCCACATCCTCCACTCGACAAAGCAACCGCGACTCCAACAATCCAACGTCGTCCCTCGTCGGACCACCAGGCCGAACCCGGTGGAGCTCGAGCTTTATTATCCTCTTCCTCTCCGACGCCGGCCGCCGCACCGCCCACCCGCTGCCGACGGAGCTTATCTCGGCCGTCGGCGAACTGTTATTCTCCAAAGTCCCGCTGCCGGCTTTCTGCTACTGAAGCTTTTGATTTTAGATTGTGAAATTTGATTTTGTCTCTTGATTTCCGATATTAGATTGTCTCTTTTGATTTCAGATCTGTTAAATTGATTTGTGGTGGTGTTATTGTAAATTAGATTAACATTAGGGCTTGCTTTTGAAAATTTGATAATAGGCAGGGACCTAATCGCAATTTGTCATAAATTTTAATATTTTGCAATTTAGTTTATGGGTCAAATTTGTAATTAAAATATAATTAATAATTTAATATTTTTATATTTTACATAAAAAACCAATACTTTTGGATTACAAATATAAGTAAAATAATGATAGTATCTTTTTTAATATAGTTCAGCAATTGGTTATTTAAATAAGAAATCAATACAATGAATTGAAATAACAGATTCTTTTTTTAAAAAAATATTAAAACAGATTTTTTTAAATTAAAAATAAAATAATTGAACCAATAAAAAATTTCGAACCGAAGGTTTTAGCATGGTCGAGTTCGTTAGATATTGTGCAATCCGATGATTATTAATGTTCAATTATTATAATTGTAACGTGCATGCGCAATGTATAAAAATATATAAATAAATCATAGTAATATTTTGAATATTTCTTTGACAGCTCAACTATTTAAAATATAAAATTAAAGTCGACATCGAAATGAAATGAATGTCATTTTAGCAGTAAAACCGGAAAATCAAACCGAAATATATATTTGTAACCGAAAATAAATAACATTTTTTATAAAAAAAATGTAAATGTTAATGTGCAATATGATAGTTATTAATGTGCATCTCGTCTGACGATATTGTGCACTCAGAATGCATCCTGAATTATTTTAACTTTTGTCTTGAACCAAATTAAATTTAACTGATATATTTAGTTTATTCGGCTGGTTAACTAAAATATTTAGTTTATTTTGTTGGTTGAATGAATTAACTAAAATATTCAGAATAAAATATTATTTAATATATTAAAATATACTTGGTATTAAAAAATAATTGAGATTTAAAGACAAAATAAATAATTGAATCGAAATATAATGTTATAACCAAAAAATTGTGTTCGGCCTGTTTTGGTCGCTATTGTGCCATCTGATAGTCATTAACGTGCATTTCGTATAACACTATTGTGCATTTGCACATCAATTATTTTTTATTTTATTTTTTCAAACCAAACTAAAACCGATCTGATCAAATAACAGATTATTCGATCGGTTAATCAAATTATCTTAAATGATTGAAATGATTTATTATTTATATTAAGAAAAGATATATTTAGTATTTTCATATTTTTATTCAATATTTTATATTAATTTGTTGTTGAAAATACATAACATACGTATAAAATATAAATATGATAATATAATATTTTTTATATTTTATTTATAAAATAAAAATTTGACCCATAAACTAAATTAAAATATAATAAGTTTTTATTTTTACACGGGGTAATTGCGCGAAGTACACGGATATGCATATTCGTAGATACTAATGTGCAACCCGTATAACAGTAATGTGCAATTTGTATAACAATAATGTGCCATTCATGCAACAATAATGTACAATCTGTGTTGCACCAAAAAAAATGTACAATCTGTGTAACGTGCAAATTATTTTTTTATCAATGTGCATTTATTATGTTTTTACAAATTATTATGAATTTGACCCAACAACTTAATTGTAATAAAATAAAACAAAAAATTGAAATTGCAAATTACTCCTTAAGAGTGTCTAATTTTTAAAAACACATCCTGCCCCAAATCAACCCCACAATCGTCTCTCTCCCTCATCTTCCACTTCTACTCCCACCTCTCCATCCCCTCCGGCGAGAACACCGTGGATATCCCCGCCTCCAGCTTCCGATCCATCTTGTTCGTCCTCTCTTCTCTCTGCCGCCCCATAGTGGTTCCGCACCCACCCCTCTAGGCCCACATCCCTACTCTTCGACGTGTTCACCGCTGGATCCACCACCTCGACGCCGATCTAGGCATCTGCCGTCTCCTTCGTCAACGCCCTCTTGCACGAGATGTCGCGGTGTAGGGACCCCGCCAACGACACCAATTCTGTCTGTGTGTCCGGCGGCCCGAATATCCATGGTTTCCCCTGGTGGCGTGAGGACTGATACGGCGGTAGGGCCGATTCTGGTGGTCTCCGACGATATCGACTGGCCTCTGTATGTGTGTGTGTGTGTGTGTGTGTTTTTTTACAGTGTGCGTGTATGTATAGGTACAGTGTTTAGTTATACATGATGAAGAATGGCGACGGAGGCGGTGGCGGAGGAGATAGAGTGGCGACGGTGGCAGGAGGAGGAGCACATAGAGCTTGGTGGTGACAGATATGGAGACGTGAGTGGGATAGATTTGTGGCAGAGACGATGGGAAAGAGATAGAATGTTAGTGGTGGGACACACTTTTAATGTGAATGAAATAGAAAATGTCTTATCTACCCTTACTGCTACATAATTCGTTACGTTTTCTTTTACCGTTGGATTATTACATCTAATGGCTAGAATGTATTCTTATTTCTTTCTTGGGAATCCATTCTCACCAGAGCGTGACCCTATATATATATATATATATATAGTTTGGATCATGTGAGAATGGTTCCTAGGGAAAGAAATGGGAATAAATTTGGACCATTAGATCCAACACATCAATGGTTATGATCCAGTCACAATTTAGTCAATCATTAATGGCAATATGATAATTTAACATACACATTATGATAAATATAAATACTTAACCACTAATTAAGGATAAAAT